CTGGGTTTCCCCGTATCCTTGCAGCAAATGCTGGATCACAGAACAATCCCCAGAACGCACACCACCCACACTAAGTTCATAATAATTACAAACGAATGTATTATCTAAAGTTTATATTTTTTTGTTATAGATGCTATTTCTGAGGGGGCGTGTTGGAATACCCCATTCCTCATTCAGAAATACCATAAGACCATAATACTTTTTGGTATTATGGAATAACTAGCTTTGGTCACATTTTTTGGTTTCTCTTCCTTCTTGCCTTTCGAACAGCGTGCTTGGTGTTGCGAGTGAATATAAAAATAATTAAATTAACAAAATCAAACTTAACCTTTGTGTTTTTATTTAATCAACAAAACAACAAACCGAGTATGCGTTAAAATGCTGCGATAATTGTTCAAGGTATGATTCCCAATTCTGATTGTCTTTGTCAAATTTATGAAACGGTGGACACATTGATAATTCACTTTGAAGAGACGGTGAACTAGCTGCTGCTGGAGCATTTTTTTCCATTATTGCTTCGATCCATTTTCGTTGTTGCTCTAATATAGCTGATGTAAATTCTCGGTGTTGCGCAAGTATTGTCTGTATTTCGTTTTCGTTTTCTTTTGCCGCCATCCTGATGAAAATCAACGACTACGCGACACAATTATACATAAGAATGTAATATTCTTACGGCTGCGTTTGCTGGTATACACAAGAATGTTGTATTCTTGCGGCTGATTTACAGTTATATGCTGTTTTTTCTTCTCTTTTGCCTCGTCGCCAATTGTTATGTTTGGGAGCGAGCAGACAGAAGCGATCACGTCGAGTGCTTATTACCAACTGTTTATTCATATTCTTTATAATAGTATACTGAAGAAGTGTAAGGTTGCCAGATAGGATAGAATGTGTGTTGTACAATGTGAACATATTTTGTGAAGGGTATAAAATTAAGAATACATTTGATTATACATAACAAAATCCATTTGAACTACCGCAAATCCACACGGAAACGGAATCTACTCCAGCATCATTTCGTCCGAACGAAATGACGAATGTCATCAGGGAACTGAAGCCGAAAAAGGCTCCCGGCGATGACCTAATAACTCAAAAAATGATAATTGAACTTCCGAATTGTGCTATTGAGGTCATCTTTAAAATCTTCAATGGGATCATAAGTCTCGGCCATTACCCAACAAAATGGAAAAAATCTATAATTATAATGATACCGAAGCCCGGAAAAGACCACACGATTCCGTCATCTTACCGACCAATAAGTCTACTATCATGCTTGTCCAAGTTATTTGAAAAATGCCTACTAAAGCGCATAATTCCTTATCTGGGAGCTCACAACATCATCCCAGCTCATCAATTTGGCTTCAGAGAAAAACATGGAACTATCGAGCAAGTTAACAGAATAACATCAGAAATTCGCACAGCCTTCGAGCATCGAGAATATTGCAGAGCGATATTTCTCGACGTTTCTCAAGCATTCGACCGCGTCTGGCTCAACGGCCTCATGCACAAAATAAAAACACTTTTGCCGGTATACACACTGTAAGGATGCTATGGCCAGGATAATAACTCAGTCGGCCCAGGAGTCCTCTACAGAAATATTTATAATTTTACGGAGACAGGCAGGAGAAAGGACGGGCCCGAAGGCCGGTATGTTTATTAGGGTGCGAAAAGGGGCAGGCGATGGTCAGGAAAACTCCCGAAATCCGGGCAACCGGCTCCGCAAGCCGTAGTCCGATTGCCAGATCCGGGACGAGGGGCGCATCTCCCGAAGTCGGACCGATCCCGCAAAACCGGGGTACCGGCGTTCCCTGATCTTCGAATGAGCGGCCCGAAATGAGAGCTGCCGGCCACGCATGCCATGTGCCGGCCGCCCTGGGTCCCCGAGAAGGGATACCGAAACGGCGAGTCGATCCCGCAGGCCGAGTACCGTCCCGCCGCCTCTGGGTGAGATGGGGCCGCCCGGAATCGGAGGAGACCGGTCCCGCAAGCCGAGATCCGGTTTCCCCGATATGTCCGAACAAACGGGGTCCTAGTGGGGTGGGGAATCGTCCGGGAATCGGAGGAGACTGGTCCCGCAAGCCGAGATCCAGTTCCCCGATATGCCCGAACGAACGGGATCCGGGTGAGGGCCACCAGCCATGCAAAACCATGTGCCAGTCGCCCTGGGTGTCGGGAAAAGAGCTCCAGAACGGAGAGGCGGTCCCGCAGGCCGAGTACCGCTTCGCCGCCTTGGCAGAGAGAAAGTGGATGCCTAATCAGGAAGAAAACCGATCCCGCATGCCGGGGTACCGGCCCCTCCTCTAAGAGAAGGAGAAGCGAAGGGCTGCCGGCCACGCTGGCCATGTGCCGGTGGCCCTTGCTCTCCCGAAGTAATGGGGCGCCGAGAGGGTAAATAATATTCCGCGATTGAGTTCCATTATATGTCCAGGGTTTATTTACAGTCTTCAAATCTTCCTAACTATTCCCTATCAATTCCTAACCTAAACGCACTCGAAGTTCTCCCCCGCAGGGGTTGGCCCTTTGGCCAGCTCACCAACGATTACTCCAACTCCATTTTTCAGGCACGTGGCCGGCGGCGTGGTTTTATTCCGATGTAATCCTGTAGCTCCGTGGCACGTCTGGTCCGTTGCTGGTGTTCTGAGAGAAGAGGCCGGGCTCGGCTTGCCGAGGCCCTTTTATAGGCCGCCGGCGATCGGTAGCGTCGTTTTACTTCGGGGAACTTCGGGTGAGCTTCGGGTGAACTTCGGCTGGCGTCATGGCCGCCGATCTGCTACTCGGGCCCTGTCGTGTCTGCCGACGCCATGCTTCGGCTGATCGGGCTTTGTCGTATGTGCCGACGGCATGCTTCGGCTGATCGGGCCTTGTCGTCGGGTGTTTGCCGAAGACGGTTCGGCTGGCCGCCCTTCGGCTCGGTCGGCTGCCGGCTTCGGCTGCTCGTATGTTCGGCCGCTCTCGGCCGCTCGTTTCCTTCGGCTGTTCGTGGCCGCTCGTGTGTGTGTTCGGCCGCTCGTCGTCTCTTCGTCGTTTGTTCTCTTAAATCTAGTCCCTACTCCTAAATCCCTAACTTAGTGTGCCCTTCGTGGGTCTTAGTATTTAACACTTATGTCCTAATGCTTAATACTAAATATAAATGTTCTTACGTACTAGGAAAAATTGACTTAAATACTAAGAAAATGAGCTTAATATTATAAAAATGGAAATGATCTTACATACTACAAACATGGTTGTGAGGCTTCCTCACACTCCATCCCTACCTCGGGGGTGAGGAAGGACGGTGACGCGGTCTCCGCCGCGCGAGATCTGGACGCGGTACGTCGTGTCGCCCATCTCTATTAAGTACCGCAGGTACTTGGTAACCGGCTGCTGGAGGCGCGCCTGCACCTGCGCGATGAGCTCGGCGGGGAGCCATCCGCCCTGCGTGGTCCAGCCTGCAGGAGCGCGCACCCAGTCCTCTGGTTCGGGTTCGGGTTCGGAGTCCGTCGATGCCTCCTCGTCCGAGTTTGGCTCTTCCTCAGGCCAAGGAGCGCGGCGTCGACGGCCTGCGTTGCGCAGGATGCCGGGGCGGTCGTCGGTGGGCGCGTCCGGGTCGCGGTCTGTCGGGGCGCGGCGGAAACGCCAGCGGTATTCATCTGTGGCGGGCAGTGGCCGTACCCGCTGTATCGGCCGGGGGGTGACCATGGTGCAGCCAGCGGTGACCTTGTCGGCGCTCCTTGGTGGAGGGACGCGCGTAGGTGCCGCTTGTAGCAGCCTCTCGGCGGCGGCTCGGGCTGTGGCTCGGCGACTGGCGTCAGCGGATGTTGTGGGCCCCTCTGGTGAGGCCAACAGCTCGGCCAAGAGTGGCCCAAGGGTGGCGCGGGCGTCAGGTGGCCCCGAGCGAGGGGGTGTCCTCTGGCCGGTGGCGATGTTGGGCGTGCTAGCGGCGGTACCGGCGTTGGTGTCGGCGTGAGGCAGAGTGGCGGGGGCCGTGTGGTTGCCCTGGCCAGTCGCGACACTGGTGCTGTGGTGTCCCTGGCTGCTGCCCCCAGCCCTGGCAAGGGTGGTGTCCAGGGTGACGGCAGGCGGTCCGCCGGCAGCGATTCCGGAGACTCTCGCGTCCCCGAAGGGCGTCGCGTTGGTGGTCCCGGTGGCTGCTGCCGCGGCCCGTGATGCGCCCATGAGGCGGGCAGTGGTCCCGTTGGGGTGATCCCGTGGGTCGGCCGTGGTCTTCCCGGCGTTGTCTTCCTCGTCGGAGATGAGGATGGCGTCCTGCGCCGGGTCTGGCTCCTCGTCTTCGCCGGAACTTATTTCCGTGATCTCCTCCTCGGAGATGTCCTCGTAGACCGCTCCCAGGGTTCCGGGAACGGCTACGGGCGGATGCCGGGCGACCATCGGCTCGACAGTCGGCGAGGCGGCCGGCGGCTCGTGGCTGGCCAAGGCGGCCATCAGCTCCTCGAGTGGAGCGGCGGTCAGGGGCTCATTGGGGGCCACGGCGGTGGTCATGGGCTCGTCCTGAGCCAAAACGGAGGTCATGGGCTCGTTGGGAGCCACAGCGGCGGTCACGGGCTCGTCGATAGCCCAAGCGGCGGTCACGGGCTCGTCGGTAGCCAAAGCGGGGGTCATGTCGGAGATCCTCAGTGCGGCCATCGACTCGTCGGGGGCCCCGGTGGCAGGCGGACTTGGGTTTCTGCCCCGTCCAGGTAGCGTCGCTTCTGCCTGGAAATCGCCCAGGCAGAACGGTGTCGGGACCCCGTCCTCGGCCAGGATCGCGGCCATCATGTCCTCGAAGGACAGCCCCTCGCACCAGGTCGGGCTGATCCTCGGCGAGGATGAGGATCGGGTGGCGGCCTCCACCCGCGGCGTGGGCTCCAGCGGGACGTCAGCGGGTGGTTCCGTGCTGGCCGTCGTAGCTGGCAGTGCGGCTAGCAGGGGTGTCCCGTCGACGTTGATTTGCTGCCGGATCGGGGCCAGCGGCGGTGGTGACCCAGCGCTGGTCGGTTTTGCGGCCGGGCGGGATCGCTGACCCGTGGCTGCCGGCGGCGGTGGTGCGCCCTGGGCGTCCATCGCTGTGTGAGGTCGCCGTTGGATGGGCGTCAGTGGTGGTGGCGACTCGGGGTGGTCGCGGTTCGACGGGGCCGTTGGCGCAGGCTGGGCTGGACGCGATCGCGGCTTCGGCTGCTGGCGGTTGCGTTGCTCCTTGCGTGGCATCCTGAAATCGTTTGTGCGCTTGAAAGCTCACGCGCTACCATTTATAGCCAACGGACGGCGAGGGCGGTATCGAATAATCGATAGGTCGTGTGGCGTGGTTATCGTCCGGCGGCTAACTCTTTCCGACGATCTGGCAACTCTGTAGATGGACTCTGGATGGCTGTGGAGAGTAGAAAAATAAGGATTAGTTTCCTCCCCTGGAACTGGCGATTCCCCGTGGATTCCTGGCTATTCTCCTGTGGTCATGGTGTCTTGAGCGTGGATGATTTGAAGGAGAGCGGCCAGGATATGTTTTCCCCTTGCGGGGGTGGGGACGTTGGACGAGCGCACTCATCAGCAAGTGGCCCCCACGATACCCTGGTCCTCTTTGGCCCTGGCGTCGTCGTCGTGGTCATCATCTTGCCTGGTGCGTCCATCTGTCTGTGCTGGGTCGTTGCTCTGGCCGTTTTCGTCGTCGTCGTTGTCGCTGTCTTGGTGATATGGCTTCAGGTTCTGAATGCAGGCGGTGCGTCGGCGGCGGCTCCCCGGCATCTGTAGCCGTGCTATATTTGGAGAGGGGAACTTGATGACCCGGTATGGGCCCTCGTATTTGGATGCCAACTTGGCGGCAAAGCCTTCGGCGGCGTTTGACAAAACGTGGCGGCGCACGAGGACTAGGGATCCGAGTGGTGGTCTCCACTCGCGTCGGCGCAGGTTATAGTGCCTTCCTTGCTCTGCTGTGGCTCGTTCTGCGTTTTCCCGGGCGACCTGGAAGATGCTGTGGAGCTGCGTACTCCTCTCCGTTGGCGAAAGTTGAGCCGTTCCTCTTCCTGGAGTGACTTCGTCGTAAAGGGTGTTCGGCAGGCGTGGTTCCCGGCCCTGTACAAGGAAGGCGGGGCTGAATCCCGTAGTGTCCGATACGCTGCTGTTAATTGCCAGAGAGATCTCAGGCAGAAGGTGGTCCCAGGCACTCTGCGGCGAATCTCCAAGGTATTGTGCGATCATAGTCTTCACGGTCCGATTTGCCCTCTCCGTGGGGTTTTGCCGCGGCGTGTAAGGCGCGGTATGTTGTAATTCCATTCCCAGGGAATTGCAAAAAGCTTGAAAGGCCCGGCTGGTGAATTGCGTTCCATTATCGCAAACAAGAGTCCTTGGGAACCCAAACCGGCTGAGTATCCGCTCCCGAAATGCTCGCTCGAGGTACGGCACCGTTGCGCGGCGTAAGGGGACGAGTTCCACCCATTTACTGAAAATATCAAAGAAAACGAGGAGCACTGTGTTCCCTTGCTTGGATCGTGGTAGAGGTCCCACGAAGTCGGCGCACAGCACGTGAAAAGGCTCGTTGACTTGCCGTGTAAACATCTTTCCGGCCGGCTTTTCCTGACTCACTTTAAACTTCTGGCAGCTCGAGCATCGTCGTACATACTGGGCCACCTCTCGGAACAGGCCTGGCCAGTAATATTTCTGGGCCACCCGCGTACTGGTTTTGCGGATGCCCAGATGTCCAGCCGTTGGATGGTCGTGGCACTCCTCCAGTACCCTTCGTCGGTATGGGGCGCCCACGCAGAGTTTCCACGGCGTGTAATCTTCTTCCTCGGGGCGTAGGCCTATGCGTCGGAACAGCTGACCGTTCTCCTCCCGAAAATCTGGAAATTTCGCTGGCTCCTGTTGAATTCGTCGTAGCAGCTTATGGATCCATTTACATTCGTTGCTCTGCACCTGCGCCTGTTGGACTGTAGCTAGTGGCTGGCGTGACAATGCGTCGGCGACCAGATTCTGGTTCCCGCGTCGGTAGCTGATATCATACTGGAACTGTTGTAGCTCCAGCGCCCACCGAGCGATCCTGCCCGTGGGGTTGTCGATGGAATTTAACCACTTGAGTGAATGGTGGTCAGTTAGTACCTCGAAGCGGTATCCCTCGATGTAGCAACGCATTTTTCGGATGCCCCACACGATCGCGAGACATTCTTTCTCCGTCACGGAGTAGTTGCGTTCTGCGTTGTTTAGACGCCGGCTGGCGTATGCGACGACTCGTTCCTGTTCGTCTATGGTCTGGGTCAGCACCGCTCCAATACCATACTCGCTCGCGTCGGTTTGTAGTACGAACTTCGCCTCGAAGTCCGGGCAGGCTAAGATTGGAGCCTCGGTTAGGAGCTTCTTCAGCAGGGTGAAGGCCTGTTCTTGCTTCTCAGCCCACTGCCACTTCCGATCTTTCTTAAGTAGAGATGTCATCGGTTCGACTACGTCCGCGAAGTTGGGCACGAAGCGACGGTACCATGAAGCTATCCCAAGGCATCGGCGAAGTTCCTTGAGATTCGTTGGCGGCGGCAGCTCCCGTATGGCGGCGACCTTCTCTGGATCGGTTTGTATTCCGGCCTCGCTGATGACGTGGCCCAAATATGTTAGGCTGCGCTGGAAAAACTGGCACTTGTCCCGGTTCAGCCGTAGATTTGCCGCTCTGAGTCGGCGGAACACCTCGCGTAGATTCCTGACGTGCTCCTTGAGTGTAGCTCCGATCACGATGATATCATCAAGATATGCGAAGGCGTGTGGCTCCATATCCGGGCCAATGACGGTATCCAGGGCTCGTTGAAAAGTTGCCGGGGCCGAGTGCAGACCAAAAGGCATCACTTTCCAGTGAAACAAGCCGCGACCTGGAACAGTGAATGCGGTACACTCACGGCTGGCTGGGGCTACTGGGATCTGCCAGTACCCGTTCTTCAGGTCCAACGTGGAGATATATCGGGCGTTCCGAAGCCGCTCCAATATATGATGGATCCTCGGCAAAGGGTAGGCGTCCGGTATGGAGTTCTCGTTCAGTTGCCTGTAGTCTACACACATCCTGACGTCTCCATTCTTCTTCGCGGCGATGACTATCGGAGCACTGTGAGGGCTCCTGGAGGGCTCGATGCGTCCGTCGCGTAGCAGCTCGTTAATCTGGCGGTCGATGACGGCTCTCATCGCAGGGTTCCTGGGATGGTATCGTTGTTTAATGGGGCGGTCGTTGCGCATCACGATACTATGCTCGGCGATGTGAGAGACGCCGGCAAGGGTATCGAATCGTGCTAGTTCTCGTTCTAGGAACTTTTCCACCCAGGGCTCTGGGTAGTTCCCGTCCTGGCCGCTGGGGCGTTGTTCCTCCTCAGTGCCGCATCTGGCGTTGGCCATTCCGCAAGATGGTGTGCTCTCGCTCGTGGATGATTCTGGTGTCCGGAACCGAACTCTCTTGCCCGTTTGGCGAAAGGGGTTCCGGCGGACAGCAGATGTGTCGGGGTGGGGCAGGATTCCTGCCCAGCTTGGAGCTGTGCCTGCGTCTGCGTGGGCGTGGCGTTGGGTACCCTCTGGGCGAGCGTGTGTGGGTGCAGCCATGCGATGTCTCTGGGCGTGGCGTTCTTGTGGAGGGTCTTCCTGCTGTGTGTCTGGCGGTAGCCCGGGTGGCGATGTGGGCTGCGGCTCCGGGTGCACCCTGGCGGTGGCTCCTGCGGTTTCCTCTGCGTCTGTGGGTTGCGGGCTCGGGGTTGCGTGTGCGCTGGCGACGGTGTCTGTGGGGTGTGCATCCATGTTGTTACTCCGTGGTAATGTGGTTGCGCACTCGCTGGGTGCCGAGTCTGCTGCGCTGGTCTCCGTGGCTCTGGGTTGAATGGGTGGCTGGAGCTTGAGGGTTTGGCCGCCGCACTGTAGTGTAGCCCCGCTGTAGCATAGAAAGTCCATGCCGAGTAGGAGGCCATCCAGCACATCTGCCATGATAAGGACAGAGATGCGGACGCGGGTCTCTCCCAGCTGGATCGTGGTTCGTAGAGCATGCGTGAGCTCCCTGTTGGTTCCGTCGGCTAATTTTACTTGTGTCCGTACTGCGCGATGGTTCCTCCCGTCGTCCAGCTCTTGTGCCAGGCGCCTGCTTATGAAGCTGTGGGAGGCTCCCGTATCCAACGTCGCGGTGAAAGGGCGTCCCTCCATGGTGACTTGGGCGCGAATACGGCTGTGGTCTTGTATGATGGCGTTGTTTACTGGCTCGGGGAGGTCGGTGGGTTCCTCGAGTGACTCCCGGATACTCGAGGCCCTTGCCCGTTTCCCGGCGCTTGGTTCCGACAGCAGTCGATGGTGCTGATACCTGGTCGGCCGCAGTCCCAGCAGAAGATAATCCTAGGACTCCTGCATTCCGTGGCGTAGTGACCGGCCTGGCCGCAGTTTCGACAGGCGGTTCTCACATCGATTGGTTCCCCTGTCGCTCGGCCTTCCTGGCCCTGGCTTCCCGTTCGGGTTCGTGTGGCAGCGTCGTTGGAGGCATTCTGAGGACGTGGCATCGGTGGCGTGGTACGTGCGTCGGGCGGATTCCCTCGGGTTTGCTGAGCCTGGGTACCGAATAGGCCCTCTGCGTCCCATCGGTTCGGTGGGTATCCCCGAGTGGTTCGCTCTCCTCGGCTCCTGGCGACTTCGAAGTTCACCACCAGGTGGGTGAGCTCGGTCAAGGTCCTAAAGTCCTGGCGGCGTGTAAACATCTGGTATTCGGGCAGCATGTTCTCGTATATCCGTTCAAGCTCTTGCTCGGGTGAGAACCCTGCGCGGCGCATCTTTAGGCGAAGATCGACGAGGTATTGTTTAAACGGCTCGTTCGGCTTCTGATAGTGGGCTCGGATTTCGTCGTCAAGGCGTTGATAGTACCTAGGCGGTAGAAAGAAATCCAGGAACTCTCGGCGCACTTGTGCCCAGGTTCCTCCCTGCAGGCCACTGGTACGAAACCAGCTCTCCGCTCTGCCGGATAGAAGTACGACGATGGCGTTGGATAAATACTTCCTATCGATCCGGTACGTGTCTGCCCGTTCCTCGATAAGTTCCACGAAGCTGAGCGGGTCCGAGGTGCCATCGAAGGACAGCCCCCACTTGGTCATCTTGTCCACCAGCATGGAGCTGGGGTTCATGTCGAAGTGAGAGGTACCACTGCGTGGAGATCCCTCGGATTTCCCGCGTGATACTGGTGCTGGCGACGTACTGCGAGGTACGGCTAAAGTATGATGCGTGGCCTGAACGGGTGGCGCGAAGGTTCCGGCAAATGCATCCGGGGCTGGCGGCAATGGTGACTTCGGCTTTACGTCTCCCGTCGGGGAGTTTCCGTAGCGTAGCTCCATCTCGTCGAGTCGAACTTGAACTGCGTCGGGGAGCTCGGGTTGTCTCGCGAAAGCAATGAGTCGCGCCCGCTGCTCTTCAACCGTACCGGCGCGTTCTAAGCCAAACTCGAGTAGGATGGCGTCGAGTTCATGCTTCTTTCGGTAGGATATCCAGGTGACACCCATTTTACCGGCGGTTGAATCTCCGCGGCGTATGCTACCGGTCGCGAAATCTGTCGTAGCGTAAACGATGATAATCGAACGGGGTTCCGATTCTGGACACGTGGCTGAGGCGGCTCGCCAATTGTTCGCGGCACGGCTGGTGCTAGGACTGTTGTTCGACGCGTGTCCCGGCAGCGATCGCGAAGGAAGATCGGGAAGCCCGTTCGCGTATCGAGATCGAAGGCGCGGGAAGGGAAACGTACCACTGAAGCGCGGAGATGCACGGCCGAGGTCCTTTAGTGGCTTGGTCTAGCTTCGTAGCGATGGTTGAGGGTCCTGAACCCTGATCCTGGAGCGTATCCTTGTAGTAGTACCCTGCTGCTGCTGCTCCTCAAGGACCCTTGAGGTATCCTTGGAGTTGAGTGGGGGTCCTGGCGTATGTCCTTGAAGGATCCCTGGAGTATCCTTTTGGTATGTCCTGGCAGGATGCTGGCGTTGTCCTTGGCTATGTCCTTGCAGGATGCTGGCGTTGTCCTTGGCTATGTCCTTGCAGGATGCTGGCGTTGTCCTTTGCTATGTCTTTGCAGGATGTTGGCGATGTCCTTTGTAGCGTTGATTTAATTTTCTCCTTGATGTTAGCTCTCGTAGCGTTGGTGATCGACTGATCTCGATGGCGTGGCAGCGGAGACTTATATAGTTGAAGGTCGGCTGGCTTCGGGCTTCCTGCGGGTAAGAGAAACCCTTCGTGCGTCGGGATAGGAAGGCTAGTTTTCTGCTCTCGTGGACGCCGGCTGCGGCGTCGACGACGTGTTGTACTCTGCCTCGGCGGCTCTCTCTCTGGACATGTGTTTGACTTTCTCTCGTGTGTACTCGTCTGACGTCGTGGAATCGTGGTCTCGGCTTTGCGTCGTGTGCTTGGCGTCGTGTGCTTGGCGTCGTGTGCTTTGCGTCGTGTGCTTTGCGTCGTTCGTATTCATGTTCGTCAGGCGTCGTAAAATTTCTTCGGGGCTTGTTCGTCTGGCTTCGTTAAAATTTTCTTCCACGTGGCTTTGCGTCCGACTGTACTTTATGGCGGCGGCTTTGTCTGCGGTTACTATGCGGCATTTTTTTTTTCCTAAATTCTCGCTCATTTTTTCTATGCTTCTCTCCTACTTTTCCCGCTTCGGTCTATGCGGCCTAGCAACAGAAATGCATTTTTCTAAGTTTTCGAACCTAACCTCAACCTTTCGACCTGAATTTTTTTCTGGTGGTGCTTTAAGCCACGTTAGATGGAATTATCCTTGAATTATCCTGCCTGGTCCCTGCTCGGGCGCCATCTGTAAGGATGCTATGGCCAGGATAATAACTCAGTCGGCCCAGGAGTCCTCTACAGAAATATTTATAATTTTACGGAGACAGGCAGGAGAAAGGACGGGCCCGAAGGCCGGTATGTTTATTAGGGTGCGAAAAGGGGCAGGCGATGGTCAGGAAAACTCCCGAAATCCGGGCAACCGGCTCCGCAAGCCGTAGTCCGATTGCCAGATCCGGGACGAGGGGCGCATCTCCCGAAGTCGGACCGATCCCGCAAAACCGGGGTGCCGGCCGCCCTGGGTCCCCGAGAAGGGATACCGAAACGGCGAGTCGATCCCGCAGGCCGAGTACCGTCCCGCCGCCTCTGGGTGAGATGGGGCCGCCCGGAATCGGAGGAGACCGGTCCCGCAAGCCGAGATCCGGTTTCCCCGATATGTCCGAACAAACGGGGTCCTAGTGGGGTGGGGAATCGTCCGGGAATCGGAGGAGACTGGTCCCGCAAGCCGAGATCCAGTTCCCCGATATGCCCGAACGAACGGGATCCGGGTGAGGGCCACCAGCCATGCAAAACCATGTGCCAGTCGCCCTGGGTGTCGGGAAAAGAGCTCCAGAACGGAGAGGCGATCCCGCAGGCCGAGTACCGCTTCGCCGCCTTGGCAGAGAGAAAGTGGATGCCTAATCAGGAAGAAAACCGATCCCGCATGCCGGGGTACCGGCCCCTCCTCTAAGAGAAGGAGAAGCGAAGGGCTGCCGGCCACGCTGGCCATGTGCCGGTGGCCCTTGCTCTCCCGAAGTAATGGGGCGCCGAGAGGGTAAATAATATTCCGCGATTGAGTTCCATTATATGTCCAGGGTTTATTTACAGTCTTCAAATCTTCCTAACTATTCCCTATCAATTCCTAACCTAAACGCACTCGAAGTTCTCCCCCGCAGGGGTTGGCCCTTTGGCCAGCTCACCAACGATTACTCCAACTCCATTTTTCAGGCACGTGGCCGGCGGCGTGGTTTTATTCCGATGTAATCCTGTAGCTCCGTGGCACGTCTGGTCCGTTGCTGGTGTTCTGAGAGAAGAGGCCGGGCTCGGCTTGCCGAGGCCCTTTTATAGGCCGCCGGCGATCGGTAGCGTCGTTTTACTTCGGGGAACTTCGGGTGAGCTTCGGGTGAACTTCGGCTGGCGTCATGGCCGCCGATCTGCTACTCGGGCCCTGTCGTGTCTGCCGACGCCATGCTTCGGCTGATCGGGCTTTGTCGTATGTGCCGACGGCATGCTTCGGCTGATCGGGCCTTGTCGTCGGGTGTTTGCCGAAGACGGTTCGGCTGGCCGCCCTTCGGCTCGGTCGGCTGCCGGCTTCGGCTGCTCGTATGTTCGGCCGCTCTCGGCCGCTCGTTTCCTTCGGCTGTTCGTGGCCGCTCGTGTGTGTGTTCGGCCGCTCGTCGTCTCTTCGTCGTTTGTTCTCTTAAATCTAGTCCCTACTCCTAAATCCCTAACTTAGTGTGCCCTTCGTGGGTCTTAGTATTTAACACTTATGTCCTAATGCTTAATACTAAATATAAATGTTCTTACGTACTAGGAAAAATGGACTTAAATACTAAGAAAATGAGCTTAATATTATAAAAATGGAAATGATCTTACATACTACAAACATGGTTGTGAGGCTTCCTCACAACACAAAAATTACTTGAGTCGTATCTCTACAACAGAGTCTTCGCAGTGAGGTGCAACGCAACAACATCCGGCACCTATTCAATCGAAGCTGGAGTCCCACAAGGAAGCGCACTCGGGCCTACCCTATTTGTTCTATACACAGCGGATATCCCCACAAGCGACCAGCTAACATTATCCACTTTCGCTGATGACACTGCGATCCTCAGCCGTTCCAGATGCCCAGTCCGTGCAACAGCCCAGCTCGCCAACCACCTCAAGGTAGTCGAGAAGTGGCTATCTGATTGGCGTATCAAAATAAATGAACAAAAGTGTAAGCACATAACGTTCACCCTCAACAGACAAACATGCCCCCCGCTCTACCTGAACAGCACACTGATCGCCGAAGTCAACGTGGTAACGTACCTGGGCGTCCACCTGGACAGACGCCTAACATGGCGAAGACATATTGAATGCAAGAAACTTCATCTAAAACTAAAAGCCAGCAGCCTCCACTGGCTCATAAACTCCCGATCGCCCCTGTGTCTGGACTACAAGGTCCTGCTCTACAACTCCACACTAAAGCCAATATGGACGTATGGCTCCCAGCTCTGGGGGAACGCGTGCAGTACCAATCTAGACATCATACAGCGCGCCCAATCAAAAATCCTGAGAACTATCACTGGGGCACCATGGTATATTCGCAACGAACACATCCACAGGGATCTCAGCATTCCTGCAGTTAAGAACGAAATAGAAAAACAAAAAGCGTCCTACAAGGAAAAACTCTCCACCCATCCAAATCCTTTAGCAAAGGACTTGATACGAGTTTCCAGAAGAAGCCGCCTACTACGTAACGACCATCCAACCCAGCCATAATTAGTCAGGGCCATTTACTCTGTACCAGTCTCATGACTGCTAGTTAGGTAGTATTGTAAGATTTGATACACTTATTGTTAGTCTCATAAATGAGAAGATTCAATAAATAAAAGCAAAGCCTATAAAAAAAAAAAAAAAAAAAAGTTGGTACCATCTGGTTACGAGCCAATCGGTTCTAGGTACTTTCGAATTGTAAATGAATATGGGGATTGGGATACCGCTGAGAGGAGGTGTCGTGAGTGGGAGGTTACTTAGCCTCCTTTCGAAATGCAGAAGAAATCAACGCCATTACACCAAAACTTAAAAAACATCGCAACTATTGGCTAGGCATTAATGATCAAAATAATGAGGGCCACTTTGTATCTGTGGCCACACAAAAGCCAGCACCATTTTTAAAGTGCATTTCAACAACGTGTATTTGTGAAAAGCGTGTCCGCTTTAAATACGATTTAAATTTTTTGTTTCCACTCGGTTGAAAGTGTCCTCCTTTTTATAGAACCAATGCTTGGTAGTTGTGTAAGGTTGTAGTATAGAATACCTATCCAAATATTAACATGTCTTGGAATGTGATGAAATTCCACAATCTACAAACATTGGCTATTTGTTATTTGAATTATCAACTGATACAATTATATCATGGTCCGAAAATCAAGTATAAATCGAACAAATAAATCTGTTGTTATCGAAATGTACGCAATTAGGACGAAACTTTGATGCAACTTTTTCTCTAGGCTAAGTTCATCTAAATAATAAACACAGAGTTTGTCTTGTAACGCAAAAGCGCAGCATTACACAATGACTAGACTATTAAACTCAAAGTTGGTTTGATTTTATTTACCAATATCATAAACTGCGAAAGCGAATACTCTACAGACACCTACCCCTATTCCACATACTTAAAAAAATAAGCCAATGTCATCCACTTCAACTGAGCTTTCAATGCCATCGAAAGTGACTGGAAATCGCTTTTAAATCTAAAGTAGAGCGAACACTTTCTCTTTGAAGGACACGCCAGTTACCCCCATGACAGGGATGGGTTGTCAATCTCAGTCCAGAGTTTCTCGTTCACTGTTCGCTGAAGCGTAAAGCGGAAATCAGACGCCATATCAGGCGGACATGTTCGACAAGGCCCGGGCGGAAATGAAACGATGGAGCGCAAAAACGGCGATGCAAAGTATGGCCGATTACAATATCGACTAGGTAAATATGCAAA